CTCTCAGGCTCCATTTCAGGATATATGCTGACAGACAGCTATGCCGAGTAATGCGAGGGAGATGTAAACACAGCACACCCCCAACGCCTACTTGCTACCCTCCGTGCTGCCTCTGCGCGTGTGCACGCACCACAGGATTGTCGTCTGCATCTGTACGCATACCCGTATCCCTCCCTCCCCGCCTCCCTTTCAGCCTGCGCTTGGCCTCTGGCCCATTTTCTTTGTTGTGGCACCAGGCTCGCTCTTCCCCCCACTCCTACCCCGCCTCCACATCCCCATTTGCATTGCACCCCCTCCCTCGCCCCTCACCAATCATTGTGTTGGTTTTATTCCCCGTTTTAACCCATGAATGCTCCTTCAAAAACCCTCCTCGTTGTCCCCCACACCTCCCTCTTTCCCCCTTCGCCCCTTCCCCTCCCTTTTCTCCCCCTCTCACCCGCCCTCTCCTCTTTTCCCCCTTTTGTTCCCCCTTGCTCTCTGTCCCTCGCAGCCTACTCAACAACAACCAGCTAACAGGCAACATACCCACCCAAATCAGTGACATGCAATCTCTCACACGACTGTGCGTGCACCTCTGGCACCAAACCGGATCTACTTCGTTCATCTTTAGGACGTCTTGAAATTCCTCTCACACGACTTTGCTGTGCTGTGCTCTGGATCATGCTTCATAGATCATGCTTCATAGATCATGCTTCATAGATCATGCTTCATGAAGTCATGCTTCATGGATCACGCTTCATGGATCATGCTTCATGAATCGTGCTTCATGGTGATCTAAGGAGCCCTACCTTATTCAATCGATAGTCTTTGAACACTAGTTGACTTGCTGTTGACCTTCATTTACGCTTGTTGACCGCTGTTGACTTGACCTTCCCTAGCAAATGTGCTCATGACTGGACCATATTTCACCACACTGGACACTGAACCGTCCTGGCCTCCACCTCCAACCAAACCCCATCCCACACCTTCCCACCCCTGTTGCATCACCTTCGCAACCAGAAACCTGGGGAGCAACCATCTGACGGGAATGCTGCCTGTTGGATTGAACCGTTTGGCCTCGCTCCAGTCCCTGTGAGTTGTTTGTGCATCAGATTTGCTTGCAGCAGACGCAGTCACTAACTGCTTACACACATTTCAGGCAGCCCAACCGGTGCAGGCAGCTTCCCCTGACTGCCTCTCAAAGTGTTTCCTTCTTTGCACCAATTCACATCACATTACAACAGATATGCAACTCAAACCTGTTTCCTTCCACCCCACTCCCTCACACACTCACCTCCTCCCTCCCTCCCTCCCTCCCTCCCTCCCTCAAACACGCACCTCCTCCATCGCCCACCTCACTGCACACCATCACTTGCCTCCATCCATGCTGCTGCCTCCTTCCCCATGCATGCATGTCTTGCATGCATGCACTGCTGCAAAGAGGCTATCATTGCAGCCGGGACAAGTGATTCTCAACAGCGCCTGCTGCATGTACTGCTGCATGACCCTCACCTCACTTACCTTCATCAGTGCCTCTCTCCCTGGCTTGCATGCCTTTTGAGACATCTCAAAAGTCGTCCACGCCACTCTCCGCTCTCTCTATGGCCTGCATACATGCAATGCTGTGCTGACCTTCACTTGCTCGTGTGTGTTGCCAATGCATCTTGCAGGCGCCTCAACAATAATTATCTAGAGGGGGTTATTGACGGGTCCTACTCTGCATTGGCAAGCCTCCTGGAATTGTAAGTTGCTGCATCCACGTGTGCCAGTTTTCTGAGATAGTGCACAGTCGTGTTTTGAGTCGACTAAAAACACGACGCATTTCACGCGGATTATACGTGTTTTGAGTCGACAAAAAAAAACGACTCATTTCACACGGATTATATGTGTTTTGATTCGACTTAAAACACCATGCAAGTGTGCCAGGTTTCTGAGATAGTGCAGAGCAGAAGGGCAGAGCAATCCCCCCCCCCCCCCCCCCCCCCCCCCCCCCCCCCCCCCTTCCCCCACCTCTCCTCTTCCCCCTCTCCCCCCAATCTCCCATGTTTACACATGTCCACGTGCATGCCACAGGTCACTAGCGGACAACCAGATAGGAGGTGACATCTACAACACAATGCTCATCTTCACCACTCTCACCATGCTGTGCGTCTTGCCTTGAGATGTCTCAGAACCTGAGCTGAGATTTGAGACGTTCTAACATTTGAGGTTTGAGATTTCTACAACCAGATAGGAGGTGATGTCTTCGACACAATGCTCATCTTCACCACTGTAACCATGATGTGGTCTTGCCTTCCTTTGGAGCCGCCTAAAAAATCGCCTAGAAAATCGCCTAGAAAATCGCCAAAAAAATCGCCCAAAAAATCGCCTCACTACAGACAGGCAGGGAACGTGGACAAGACAGGGCATTAGTCGTCTTCTCCTCTGTCACTATGCTGTGGCAATTGCCTTCCTTTCCCTCCACTCAAATACCACTCTCAGTGCATGCTGTGCTGTCCGGATGTTCTTGGCTCACGGTGAGAAGCGGGAAGGAGGGGGGAGGTGGTGGGACGATGCAGAAGTGGAGGGTTGGTAGAAGTGTTGGTCTCAACTCACGCATGGAGCTAGCTAGTGCGTGGGGCTTTTAGTTCCTATGCATGTAGCCTGCCACACACCCCTTCATGTGGTCCAGTATGCTGTTCCATGCTGTTCCATGCTGTTCCATGCTGTTCCATGCTGTTCCATGCTGTTCCATGCTGTTCCATGCTGTTCCATGCTGTTCCATGCTGTTCCATGCTGTTCCATGCTGTTCCATGCTGTTCCATGCTGTTCCATGCTGTTCCATGCTGTTCCATGCTGTTCCATGCTGTTCCATGCTGTTCCATGCTGTTCCATGCTGTTCCATGCTGTTCCATGCTGTTCCATGCTGTTCCATGCTGTTCCATGCTGTTCTTTCAGATGTTTCGAGTCGAGACGCCTCACAACTTCCTGCAACGTTCCTCGCCCCTCCATTGTCTCGCGTTTCTCTCATCGCTCCCCACCAGAGACATCACCAACAATGGTCTCACTGGAACGATTCTTGAGGCGCCTCAAGAAAGCTTTCTGCATTGTTCCTTGACCCTCCGTTGTGTCGTCTGTTTCTCTCTCTCTCTCTCATCACCCCCCCCCCCACCAGAGACTTGTCCAACAACGGTCTCACAGGAACCCTTGCAGATGGAATCTCACTCCTCACCAAATTGCGAGAACTGTGAGCTGGCCACATTTCTCAGTGCCATATCACTGTTGATATCACAATGCAGACCAGCACCAGCAACTGCACCAGCACTCTTACACGAGCAACTCAGTGTGTTTTCAGCCTTATCAAAGGCTCCCTTGATGTTTGATGGAATCTTGTAAATTTATGAAATTATTTCATACAGCATATGAATGCCACAGGTATAACGCCATAATGTAACATCTTTAGAATAGCGCCATTCATTTTAGGCTGTAGATAAAAATAGAGTAGACTTTGTGCGGCTTCTTTCCTTTCTCTTCTCAAGAATTCACAACAACTACCCTCTTCATCTAGTTGTAACGCATACAACTCCCACCTGCAATGACCACACTCACCCCATTGTTCTCTCTGGCTCAACTCATAATCCAACCAATTGGTTGCTATCTTATGCTACACTCCTGCTTCTCCTCCCACCCTCCGACCCTAAAATTTTTCATCTCGTGTATGCTCTTGCGCATTTCCCCCTTACTTCAGGCGTGCAGCCAAGTGTGGGATCCAGTTCTTGATTCCTCCACAGATCACTGATCTAACTAACCTCTCGCTTCTGTGAGCACTGACCACCTCGCTCGCCTCTCCCAGGCCTGCCTCTATTTCCTGAAAGGGTTGGTTCTGCATGGCATGAGCCTGAGGGTTGCTTATCATGTGTCCAGATGCCATCATTCTAATGCATGATGTGTCTGTAAATGCATCCTTCGTACCATGCATCCCTCATCCTCGTTTCGTCTGGGCTGTTCTTGTCATCTGCCCATCTCCCTGCATCTCATGGCAATGCATGGCACGGCATGGCATGGTATGGCATGGCGTGGGGTGGCACAACGTGGCGTGGCATGACGTGGCGTGGCATGGTGTGACGTGGCATGGCGTGGAATGGCGTGGCATGGCGTGGCATGGCATGGCATGGCATGGCAGGGACCTGTATGACAATAATATTAACTCGGCATTACCACTGGATATGGAGAAGATGGCCAATCTTCGACACCTGTTAGTGCTGCTGCCACTGCGTGTTCACTTCCTCTCCCCTCTCTCCGTCCACCCCCCCTCACTTGTTTCCGGCACCATTCTCTCTGAATGCAAATGTTCCTTCCTGTCCCCTTCCCCGTCCCCTTCCCCTTCCCCTACACCGCGTTTCTCCATGCTCTGAGCATAACGGCCACTGCTCATCCCCATGCTCATGCATGCAGCTCCGTGACTCGTTACATTAGTTTTTACCTTTCTAGTTACGCTTGTGGCAGCATGCTCACATCACATGCAATACGTTCGTGCGCATTCACTGCACTGCACCCTTGTATCAATCTCTTCTTCTGCGCCCCCTCTCCTAACCACCAGCAACCTGGGTGCCAACCACATCGATCCCCCCTACTTTGATGTAGTATCCGCTTTCACATCCCTCACCTACCTGTGAGTACTTCCACTTTCTGCGGCAATCACCTCTCACCCTACCACTTCATTGCACCGCACTGAACCACACTGGACTGCACGCCATCACGCCAGACCATCTGCCGCACTGGCCTCTCCTCTCCGCATTCCACTGTCCATCCATCTTCTAGCCATCCATCTTGTGTCCATACATCACATTTCCCCTGCCTCCCCCCCTCCATTCTCCTTCCAAACAGTGGCCTGTCCAATAACGGATTGGTCGACAAGACACCCTTTTCAGTACTTACGAACCTCAAGGCACTGTAAGGACCCTGCATTGCCCTCTTGAGCCGTCTAAGTCATCACTCTACCCGCAATTTCTATATTGCCCGGCACAGGGTACTGTGTTATGTTAACCTACACGCACTGTAAGGCCTGCTTTTGCTCTGCCTTCCTGTAACGCCCTCTGCTGCCCTTGCTGTGACCCCCTGCTCCTCTCCTCCTCCTCCTCCCTCCTCCTCCTCCTCCTCCTCCTCCTCCTCCTCCTCCTCCTCCTCCTCCTCCTCCTCTCCTCCTCCTCCTCCTCCTCCTCCTCCTCGTCCTCCTCCTCCTCCTCCTCCTCCTCCTCCTCGTCCTCCTCCTCCTCCTCCTCCTCCTCCTCCTCCTCCTCCTCCTCCTCCTCCTCCTCCTCCTCCTCTCCTCCTCCTCCTCCTCCTCCTCCTCGTCCTCCTCCTCCTCCTCCTCCTCCTCCTCCTCCTCCTCGTCCTCCTCCTCGTCCTCCTCCTCCTCCTCCTCCTCCTCCTCCTCCTCCTCCTCCTCCTCCTCCTCCTCCTCGTCCTCCTCCTCGTCCTCCTCCTCCTCCTCCTCCTCCTCCTCCTCCTCCTCCTCCTCCTCCTCCTCCTCCTCCTCCTCCTCCTCCTCCTCCTCCTCCTCCTCCTCCTCCTGCTGCTGCTGCTGCTGCTGCTGCTGCTGCTGCTGCTGCTGCTGCTGCTGCTGTCTGTCCGACTGATTTTTCTTGCTGTGAATCGAACCACATGTCGAGTGATATGATGAGCTAAGAGGCTCTATAGTGCAAGCAAAGAGCATGAAAGAGCTGCAAGGGAAATTCCTCACTCTGACTACTAGGTTTGCTTATGGGAGGGGTTGCATCTGGGAAAAAGAACCACAAATGTATGGTGATGCTGGGTGGATTGATTGGTTAGCACTACTGTTATTGCTGGCTAATCCCAACCAACCAAAAGACCTTGGAGAACCGAGACTCATCTTGACCAACCATATCAGTGGTTGAAGAGTACGATAATAAACCCGTCAACAGATCAAGCCTATGTTTGCCATATTGTTTTATATTACAATATCTTTCTTTCCCTCTGTCCCACCCTCTCTTCCTCTGCCTCTCCCTCTGTCTTAGCAGTGATCTCAGCGGTAATTCGTTTTCATATGACATTCCCGAATACCTAATCAACCTCCCACTTCTCGAATCATTGTAAGCTAACCATTACTGTTCGCATGTCCATGATTTCCTACACCATTTTTCTCATCTTGCCTAGATTCCTAGATTCCACAGTCTCTAAACTCTCTGCTCTACCCTGATGGCTGGCCTTTGCTCTGAGATGAGGACTTTAAAGGTCAGCGCTCCAAATGTCTCTCAGCGCTCCAAATGTCTCTCAGCGCTCCAAATGTCTCTCAGCACTCCAAATGTCTCTCAGCACTCCAAATGTCTCTCAGCACTCCAAATATCTGTCAGCACTCTGAACTGTACACACTCCCTGACTCACTTTTTAGCGCATGACCATGTGAATGTGCGTGTGCCTCTGAATGTGCATTTACATGTGCGTCTGAATGTGAATATCCATATGCATCCTCACATGCAGGGATCTAAGTGGTAACACCTTCTCAGGACCCGTACCAACTCCCGCCAATCCGAACACTGCATTCACCTACCTGTGAGGGCTTGGAGTTTGATTTAACCGTTCTTTTGCACTGCCTCTTCAGCAATCCCGGCTCTTTCGAATGTGCCAACTCCCTTCCTTGCTCCTTTTGACTATCACTCCCATTTCACCTACCCTCCCCTTCCGCGTCCCCTTCCTTCGACCCCTCCCCTTTCCCTGTTCGTACCAGCAACCTGGCAAGGAATTTTCTCTCGGGTTCGATTCCTCCAACTATTTCCAATGTGGGGGGTGCAGTCACCATGTAAGCAGGTCCTTTCTCAATGGGAGTAGCTCCACGCACAACCCAATGGAAACCCCCCTCTCCTTCCGTTGCTTCGTCCTTCCACTCCGTCCATCATTCCTCCTGTTATTCCTTGCCCGCTTGCCCACCTGTTCTAGCCCTCTTCATTTTCCCACTTTCTTGTGTTCTCTGTGGTCCCTCCCTCCCTCCCTCCCTCCCTCCCTCCCCCCCTCACTTCATTCCGCTTTCCCTCTTTCCTTCCCTGCAGTGATTTGTCGGGCAACTCTCTCGATGGCCCCATTCCTGCTTCCATGATTCAACTCACGCAGTTGCAAAATATGTGAGGCATTCCGTTCCCTGCTCGCGCCATACCATGCCATGCCGTGCCATGCCATGCCATGCCGTGCCGTGCCGTGCCATTCATGCAATGCCTTCGGGTCGCATGTCAGCGTGCCCCACAGAGCGAGACCCTCTTTTCACGAGATTCACTCACTGGCAACATACCATCAACTTGACCCATGCATGCCTTGTGTGGCTTGACCATCACATTCCACCACTTGCCATCAGCAGCACGCTCGCCACATCCTTTCAATTATCACCACCGTAAACACCATTGGTGGCTGCCTCGTGAACGACCCCCAATCAGAGTGCTGGGGTCCAACAAGTTATCGGGCGATCTTCCTCCCATGATCACCCAGCTCACAGACCTTAAGAAACTGTGAGTGCGAGAATGCGAGCAAGCATGCTGCATGCACGAAGCAGTTAGCAGGCACGCAAGCTGGAATGTATCTCTCGCATCAAAATGCGTCCTCTTGATTGAGAGTCATAGAACGTAATGCCTGTCCGGTTTCAACACCCGTTTGTTTCCTGATTCGACTCACTTGTCTTTTGTAATCTGAGTCTTTCCGGGCTTCCCAGTTTCCACATATCGTGCTTTAAAAAGGTCCTATTCAAAACTCCTCGGCCAGTTTTTGCACATCGTGTTTGAACACTTGGTCTATTACGAGAACTTGAACTAGAAGTAATTGGCTAGGTAGTGAAGTAATGACGCTCTGGGCCCCTTAAGTTCAGCATGAATTGGCGGGAAAGGATGAATAGAAAAGCAAATGCAATCCCCAATAAGGTTGCCTGAAACTCTCTATTGGCGGGTAAGGACTTTCAGTTGACCACAATTTGGTGAAGTTGGAGATGGTAGTTAGCACCTATCCTACAACAATGATCCTTCAATAAAGTAGGATACAAAAAGTACATTATAAAAAGTAAACAATGCTAGTATTTTCATAACATATTCTTACCCGTTCTTCGTGATCCCCTCCTCCTGCGCACGTGCAGGGATCTGAGTTCCAACCAGATATCAGGGCCACTGCCCACCATCCTTAGTCTTGCCACTTCTCTCTCCCACCTGTCAGTCCCCCTTTCTATTTGACCCACAGACTGAACCCCCCACACTCCCCACTCTCCCATCGCTACCCGTATGCCCTCGCCTGTATGCCTGTGGTTTTGAAGATGTATTGTCTATGTTTCGGCTAATTGTATGATTAACTGAGAAAGCAGTGGGGTGGTGGTCCACTCTCAATCATCAACCATTCTCCCTTTCCTCCCTCTTGAGTCGACCCAAAAGTCATCAACCGTTCTCCCTTTCCTCTCTCCCTTCTCCAACTCTCCCCCTTCGCCCCTCTCTCTCTCCTTTCCCTCCTCTGCCCCTTTTTCCCGTTCTCCTCTCTCCCGTTTCTCCCCTCTCTTCCCCCTTCCCCCCTTCCCCATCCCCAGCGACCTCAGCGGCAACATCTTCACAGGCACGTTGCCTTTGGGCTACAGCCGCCTCTCCCAGCTCTCCACCCTGTCAGTACCACACACAGAAGCGTGTGTTGTGCCATCTCAGCACCACTCCACCCTGGCAATCGTTATGCTACGGGGTAGCGTTTGTTGTGCCCTGTCAGCAGCTCTCCACCCTGTCAGTGTGTCGGGTCAGAGATAGTTAGTGTCTGTGCCATTATCCCATTCCACTGCATTGCATCTCGCTCCACCACACCCCTTCCAGTCTGTCACTTCGCATCTCTCAACCCATCCCACACCACTTTGTATCTCCCGTCCATGCTCGTCGCTCCCAACCACTGCCATCCTACCTTACCGCTCTCACCCCTCACCACCGCACTTCACCTCTCCCCGTTCAGGGGCCTGTCGTCCAACATTCTCTCAGGCTCCATCCCAGAGCCTCTTATCGCTGCCCTAACCAACACGCCCCACCTGTGAGTGTGTGGGGTTGCGTGGACATTTTTGTGCAGTGTTCTTACAGCTATTCTCCCTTTCACTTGCTTAGAGTCACCCGGCGAGCACCTGCTTCTCCTTGTCTGTCTGCTCGTGCAAGCTATGTCTTGTATTGAAAATTCCTGTGCAAGTTGTTGTGCTATAGAAGTCTCCCATTTGTTGCCATGTATATTTCTGCTACCATGCCATGCCATATTATCCCATGCCACACCACCACACCACACCATTCCACACCACACCACACCTTATCTCTCCACTCCGCACCACACCATGCCATACTGCACCACAGGGACTTGAGTTACAACCAATTTTCAGGATCCATGCCTTCATCCCTCTCCCTCCTCACCAAACTCACCAACCTGTTAGTCACACCACTACCTGTCCCTTCTTACGCGCTTTCGTGATTATCAGTTTCCTCTTGTCCTCATTTTTTCATGCCCGCATGTCCTCATTTGCGCATGATCTCATGTGCTCATGTCCTCGCTCATGTGATCTTGTGCTCATGCCCTTATGTTCTCATGTCCTCATGTGCTCATGTGCTCTTGTGTTCTGACGAGTATACAGCTGCTGCACCCGCCCCTCTCCCCTACTATTACTGCGAATAGGGATGAGCAAATGGCGAACACGAACATGTTCGTGTTCGCCTGGGCTCGAACATGGCTGTTCGGCGAACCGAACACTGTTCGGTTCGCCGAACACTTTACACCAAAAAGGGTGTTCGAAGTTCGCCAAGAGAGGCGAACATTTCGTACGTTTTGGTGAACACGAACACGTTCGCCCAGAACATGTTCGCGTTCGCCTTAAAGGACCTTCTCAGATCCAAGTAGAGTGAAATCCAAATGTTTCACATTCCCTCCCACCACCCCCCAAGCCAGTACCGCCCTGCTTCATCCATGCTAGTGCCAGCGTGTGACGGCGAGAGGCTACATCTGCACTTAAGCAACGGCGAAATGCTAGATCTACGCTTAAGCAACGGCGAAATGCTAGATCTACGCTTAAGCAACGGCGAAATGCTAGATCTACGCTTAAGCAACGGCGAAATGCTAGATCTGAGCTTAAGCAACGGCGAAATGCTAGATCTACGCTTAAGCAACGGCGAAATGCTAGATCTACGCTTAAGCAACGGCGAAATGCTAGATCTGAGCTTAAGCAACGGCGAAATGCTAGATCTACGCTTAAGCAACGGCGAAATGCTAGATCTACGCTTAAGCAACGGCGAAATGCCTTGATCCGCACTTAAGCAACGGCGAAATGCCTTGATCCGCACTTAAGCAATGGCTTATGCCTTGATCTGAGCCCAAACACCAAGGCCCGCGACCTAAAAATTGGTCGCGGGCCTATTCGTCGACGAACACATTGGTGTTCGTCGAAGGCCCGTGTCGAACACGTTCGTGTTCGACGCGCCTCGGCCAGCTGAGCCGGGCGAACGGCGAACACGTTCGCCCCGAACACTTTAGGCCAAAAAAAAACAGGTGTTCGTCATATTGCTCATCCCTAACTGCGAAGTTCCCCTCAACAGACATTTTTTTATTTCATCCCCTCACATAAGTGTGCGAGGTTCCAACTTCCACCCACAGACTCGAACAGCCAAACCCCATCCATCCTCTTCCTCCCCTTTCCCACACACCAACCCCTCTTCTCCGTTTCGTCCTCTGCCCCTCCAACCAACATCACGCTCCCCTCCTTTCACAGAGACCTGGGCTTCAACCGTCTGTCAGGCACGCTCGTTTCAACCATCAGCACTCTCACGGCCCTCAAGGCGCTGTATGCTCTTCATCCGCTGCACTCCCTTCACTGCACTCCCTTCACTGCACTCCCTTCACTGCACTCCCTTCACTGCACTCCCTTCATTGCCCTGCTCTCTCCCTCACATTCTCTCCCCTGCATTTCGAGCATCCTCCCTCTTGTGTGTCCCTGTGGTGGAAAAGCACTCGCCTCTGCTTCATGCTGTGTGCTATCAGTTGCACACGGATAACATTCTTTGCACCATGCCTCTTGCCGAACAAAAATGTTTCCGTCTTTATGCATCCTGCCTCTTCACACATCCCTCCATGTCACCACCCTGTTGCCCCTCGTTCCGTTGCCCCTTCTCTCTGCAATGCCTCTCCGACTCTCCGTTCCTGTTTCCCTATCTCTCTATCTCCCTGTCTGTCTGTCTGTCTGTCTGTCTGTCTGTCTGTCTGTCTGTCTCCCTCTCTTTTCGATTCCCTGTCTTTCTAACTCCCTGTCTCCCCGTCTCCCTCTCTCCCTGTCTCTCCGTCTCTCCCCGTCTCTCTGCTTCTCTCTCCAGATCTCTGTCCAGCAATGCTTTCACGGGTTCCGTTCCGGCAAAAGTTATTGCACAGATTGGCAACCTGCAAAAGCTGTAAGCATCCCAATTTCCCATTGCCTGCTTCCTCCTGCCTGCCTCTTGCAGGCATCCAACTCCTTGCATCCTGCACAACCGACCAACTGACCACACATAAACAGTAAAGCAATCCAGCGACCTATCCAATTCGTCGTATGCATTGCAGGACGTTGTGAACGGTTGTAGAAGGATGCACGCTCGTGCATGTCGTGCTGTTCTGTGCAGTGCACGTTCCCCCACATTTGAGAAAGCGCATATTTGATTCGATACAGACCATGTGCAGTGCACTAGGGTATTCTCATATGCCGCCATCTGAACAGCCCTAGAATGAAAAATGCACAAGCACGGTTGCTTGTAATGGCACGTGCATATGTGCTTCCCGACGCCGCTGCACTGCAATGCTCAAACACACGACATGTACGCATGCATGCATGTGTTCTACACCCTTCTCACAACCGAGATCACAAAATCATGTGTGTGCATGCCCCCATGTGCTCATGCACACAGACATGTGCATCTGCAAACCCACACATGCTCTTGATCTCCCTACCTCCCCATCCCACTCCGTCCTCTTTAACTCTTGCGTAGGGATGAGCAATATGACGAACACCTGTTCGGTTCGCCTCGAACACGTTCGAGGCGAACCGAACAGGATTTTTTTTGGGCCTAAAGTGTTCGGGGCGAACGTGTTCGGTGTTCGCCCGAACACGTTCGCCGTTCGCCCGGCTCAGCTGGCCGAGGCGCGTCGAACACGAACGTGTTCGTGTTCGACACGGGCCTTCGACAAACACCAATGTGTTTGTCGACGAATAGGCCCGCGACCAATTTTTAGGTCGCGGGTCTTGGTGTTTGGGCTCAGATCAAGGCATTTCGCCGTTGCTTAAGTGCGGATCAAGGCATTTCGCCGTTGCTTAAGTGCGGATCAAGGCATTTCGCCGTTGCTTAAGTATAGATCTAGCATTCCGCCGTTGCCTAAGTGCGGATCAAGCGTTTCGCCGTTGCTTAAGCTCAGATCTAGCATTTCGCCGTTGCTTAAGCGTAGATCTAGCATTTCGCCGTTGCTTAAGCGTAGATCTAGCATTTCGCCGTTGCACGATGGCGCTAGCTTGGATGAAGCAGGGCGGGACTGGCTTGGGGGGTGGGGGGAGGGAATGTGAAACATTTGGATTTCACTCTACTTGGATCTGAGAAGGTCCTTTAAGGCGAACGCGAACATGTTCTGGGCGAACGTGTTCGTGTTCACCAAAACGTACGAAATGTTCGCCTCTCTTGGCGAACTTCGAACACCCTTTTTGGTGTAAAGTGTTCGGCGAACCGAACAGTGTTCGGTTCGCCGAACAGCCATGTTCGAGCCCAGGCGAACACGAACATGTTCGTGTTCGCCATTTGCTCATCCCTACTCTTGCGTTATCCCTTCTATCCCATCCCCCCTCTCCTTTGCCTGCTCTGCATGTGCAAGGCAGGGACCTGAGCTACAACCAGCTAACGGGGGCCATGCCTGCAGAGCTCACAGCTTTGGATGCCATCACCAACCTGTACGCCCACTCGCTGCTGCTCCCATGCTTTCCATTCCACGGCTTCTGCTGCCATATATCATGCCATGCCATGGCTAGTCCAAACAAGTGGTTTCTCTTCATCTCTATCACTCCACCATGTCATGCCACTGATTTTAGTTCATCAAAAAGGTATTCCATGGATGCCTGTTGCTATGCATGTGTACCCACCTCTCCCACCCACTGTCTTCCATTTTCATTTTCGATTCATTCCCTACCTTTCACCCAACTCTCCATGCCATACAACCCAATCCACCCCTCTCTGCCTTCCCTCCCAGCGATCTGAGTCACAACGACCTCACCGGGCCTCTTCCAACCAGCATTGGCAGCATAACCACGCTCAAGTCCATGTGAGTGCTGCCGTGATAGGGACTGTACCACTGCCTGCCCTCTCCTGTTCTCACTTTCCTCCACTTCTGCAACTCCAATAAGCACACAGTAGAGCAGAGGGTTCCTCCGCTCTGCATGTAGCGTGCATTCATGTTACAAGTTTGTAACATACAGGGACGTAACATACAGGGACGTAACATACAGGGACGTAACATACAGGGACGTAACATACAGGGACGTAACATACAGGGACCACACGCAGGGGCGCATCCCTCTCAAGTGGTCCCCGCATGTAGCATGCACAAATTGAGACCTGTGTACAGAGCTACAGACAGCAAGGCGGCACTTGACTTCCCTACAGTGTCCTCTGCTACTACCTAAGCTAAGGAGAGGCCGTAAGGGGCTCAAGGATAGTGCACAGATCACAGCAGGGTGCTGCTCTGCGAAAGGGACTGCTAAAGGTGAGCCCACAGCAGGCGCAGGATGCTCTGCTTCCAAGGTTTCCAAAGCTCCCAAGTCCGGCTCCCAAATCCGGCTCCCAAGGCCGTTTTTCCCTGCTGATGAGCTTCCAACGGTGCTGCCACTTTTGGTGCAGCAAAAGTTAGGCAGGCTCTAGTATTTGGCAGCCCCTACAAACTATCTGGTAGGTGGAGGGGTGAGTTTAGAAGAAACCCCTTCCGGCTGCATCGGGAAGTAAGGTGCTTGTCATCCCTTACCCTCTCTTTTGTCCATTTTCTCTCTTCTAACTGCTCCTTGATTTCACCTCCCTTTCTTCTCCCTTTTCTTCGGCTTTTTGTACCCTCACTGCCCCACTTCTCTCTCCCCTCCCCCCTGCCCGCCACTCCAATGATGTAGCAATCTGAGCGGCAATGATTTGACCGGCTCCATACCAGTCGAGTACTCCAATCTCGCCAACCTCAAAACACTGTCAGTGCCCGTCCAACCCTCACACCCTGTCCACGCCCCACGTACCCTTCTCTCCTTCTCCCCCTGCAACCCTTCTCCCCCACGCACACTGTCCCCCTTCCATCTCCTCACTTCGACATTCCCTTTCTCATCTTCTCCCCTTTTTTCCTTGTTATCCCCATTCCCAAGTCCTGTGCTTCCTTTCTGCTCAGCACCCCTTGTCTCGTCCCATCCCCTTGACCACTCTCTATCTCACCTTTTCCGGACACCCCTCCCAGCACACCTGCTCCCTCCCCCCCTTTCTCCACCAGATTCTCCCTTTCCCCACCCGCTTCCAACCCTCTCCTGTTTCCTCTGTGCCTTTCTCTCACCGTTTCTCCGTTTCAGTTGTGTGTGTGTGTGTGTGTGTGTGTGTGTGTGTGTGTGTGTGTGTGTGTGTATTCATCAAAACTTTATGAGCTGAACGTTATTCACACCTTGCAATGACCCCCCTGCTTCCCTGGCCGTTAAACCGAACCTTTCCCTACCTACTCCCCTTTCCATCCTTCTGCTGCCCTAATTCCCTTCGTGTGCACTTCACTCTCAATCTGCAACTCCACAGCAACCTCTGCTGCAACCAGATCAGCGGCACCCTGCCCACTCTTCTCGGAGGGCTGTTAAGAATGGAAGCCATGTGAGTGACCCATCCTCATGTGAGTTAACATGCAGCATTCGCCCAGCTAAGCACTGTATGTGGACTGGTGTGCACCGGTGTGCTGTGCACGTCTGTTTCTGTAGGAACAATCGGTGCACATCGAGGCTTTAATCCCACATCGCTCTGAATCCAAGTGGAAAGCACCACACTCATTCTTCTCAGGACGGAACCGGTAGCCCTTTCAGTATGGCTGAGTCAACCCAGCAACTCTACGAGCAACAGCTTGAAGCAAGCAAATTTATTAGTGTCTTTTTTATGTGATGCGAGGATAGAGGATTTTTAGTAACAAACTTTCAGATTAACCATTATCTTAGTTCTCAAACAATTTTCTCCCTCCCCTGCAGTGACCTGAGCAACAACCGTCTGCATGGAACCATCCCCACTCTTCTCACAGGCCTTGTCCGCCTCACCCTCCTGTATGTCCTCACATGTTTGAAGAAGTGTTTTGAGACGTCTCAAAACACTTCTTCAAACACCTGTATGTCCTCACACTTCTTCAAACACCTGTATGTCCTCACACTTCTTCAAACACCTGTATGTCCTCACACTTCTTCAAACACCTGTATGTCCTCACACTTCTTCAAACACCTGTATGTCCTCACACTTCTTCAAACACCTGTATGTCCTCACACTTCTTCAAACACCTGTATGTCCTCACACTTCTTCAAACACCTGTATGTCCTCACACTTCTTCAAACACCTGTATGTCCTCACACTTCTTCAAACACCTGTATGTCCTCACACTTCTTCAAACACCTGTATGTCCTCACACTTCTTCAAACACCTGTATGTCCTCACACTTCTTCAAACACCTGTATGTCCTCACACTTCTTCAAACACCTGTATGTCCTCACACTTCTTCAAACACCTGTATGTCCTCACACTTCTTCAAACACCTGTATGTCCTCACACTTCTTCAAACACCTGTATGTCCTCACACTTCTTCAAACACCTGTATGTCCTCACACTTCTTCAAACACCTGTATGTCCTCACACTTCTTCAAACACCTGTATGTCCTCACACTTCTTCAAACACCTGTATGTCCTCACACTTCTTCAAACACCTGTATGTCCTCACACTTCTTCAAACACCTGTATGTCCTCACACTTCTTCAAACACCTGTATGTCCTCACACTTCTTCAAACACCTGTATGTCCTCACACTTCTTCAAACACCTGTATGTCCTCACACTTCTTCAAACACCTGTATGTCCTCACACTTCTTCAAACACCTGTATGTCCTCACACTTCTTCAAACACCTGTATGTCCTCACACTTCTTCAAACACCTGTATGTCCTCACACTTCTTCAAACACCTGTATGTCCTCACACTTCTTCAAACACCTGTATGTCCTCACACTTCTTCAAACACCTGTATGTCCTCACACTTCTTCAAACACCTGTATGTCCTCACACTTCTTCAAACACCTGTATGTCCTCACACTTCTTCAAACACCTGTATGTCCTCACACTTCTTCAAACACCTGTATGTCCTCACACTTCTTCAAACACCTGTATGTCCTCACACTTCTTCAAACACCTGTATGTCCTCACACTTCTTCAAACACCTGTATGTCCTCACACTTCTTCAAACACCTGTATGTCCTCACACTTCTTCAAACACCTGTATGTCCTCACACTTCTTCAAACACCTGTATGTCCTCACACTTCTTCAAACACCTGTATGTCCTCACACTTCTTCAAACACCTGTATGTCCTCACACTTCTTCAAACACCTGTATGTCCTCACACTTCTTCAAACACCTGTATGTCCTCACACTTCTTCAAACACCTGTATGTCCTCACACTTCTTCAAACACCTGTATGTCCTCACACTGCCCCTCCTGCTCAACCTCCCCTTCTCTTTTCTCCATTTTCACATCCGCTGCCTGGCCCTTCCCCCTCCTCCCAAAGAACCAGTAACCATCTCTTGGGTCCCTCCCTCATACGTCATCCTCCCCCCATCTTCCCATCCTCCCCACCCCGCTCGCAGCAACCTGCGCAACAACCAGCTGACAGGCCCCGTACTGCAGCCCATCCCATCAACAGTCACCTCCTACAATCTCGACCTCAACTACTTCTCCTCAGGCTTCGACTCCCCACCTGACTGCTCCCAAGGCTCCATCTCCTTCCGCTTCAACTGCCTCGCAACCCCCACTGACGGCTTCTCCTGCCCCACGCCTGCCACGCCCTCTGCTGCGGATGCAATGGTGCAGCGCCCGGAGGAGCTCTGTGCGGCCTTCTGTGGCGTGAGTGCTGACGACCCCCCGTGCGACGGCCATGGCGTGTGCTATCTGGCCGGCCCCAGCAGAGTGCCCACGTGTGACTGCGAGCCTGGGTTTGTCAACGGGGAGTTTCCTGGAAGCTGCGTCGCCGAAGGCAGTGAGTGGGGGCGGGGGAGGGTGGGGGATATGAATAACGGGGGAGGGGAATGAGGATGGTGTGGGATGTTAGGGCTGTGTGATTAGTGTGCGTATGTGTGATAATATGAAGTTTGAAGAGAAAAATGTGATCGGATAAAAAGATCTCAAGGTATACATTTGGTGGGAGCAACGGGGAAGGGTTGGGTTCCTGACCTTTTTTTTTTGGCTCCCACCAATAATCTGGGTTGGAGGATTATTGGAGGGCCTTAATACACATGGTTAATGCTCAGCCAAATTGTGCGGCCAATACTCTGCAACCCAACCCTAGAAATCAAATAGTTGGCTAAGGTTGAGTTCCAAACTCCCAAGTTCCCAACTAGGTTCAAACCCCAGTTATGCATCCAAACTTGGTATGGCGGCTGTTCTACCCAAGGTAGTATAGGATACACGCAGGATACAATAAAAGAGGAATGGTATTCTGAAATTCTGTGCTGTGCTGTGAGAATTTCGCAACATGGTCGTGGAGCTGGAACCTTCCTGCACAGGTCTCGATTCACAAGGTTGGCTTGTGGGGTGCCTCAGCGCTTCCGATGCGCTGCGTTTTGAGGCGCCTCAAAAGCCATCTCTTGTCATGCCGTCCTGTTGAGATGCCTCCTCAAGGACTTCTCTCCCCCTCATAGCCGTTCTATTTCCCCTTGCTGCCTAACCGCACCCCCTCCCTCGCTGGCAGGCGAGGACCCAGTAATCGTGCAGCCGACAGCAGCACAGACAGCAGTGAAGGGGGGGGCTTCAGTGGCAAACGACGGCCGCGTCACGCTGACAGCCTCACAGCCCAACACGTGGGGTGCAGCGTTCCTCCAACTGCCCATCCCACTCTTCTCCTTCGCCCTCAAGGCCGGTGCCTGCGGCCGCCCCTTGGCCTTCACCGTCTATTTCTCCTTCTTCATTCTCAAACCAGCCACCGCCAGCAGGGCAGCAGCCACAGCTGCAGGAGATGCAGGGGACGGGTTTGCGTTTGTGATTGCCGCCAGTGATGCTGCTACAGGCGGTAGCAGCGGCAGCAGCGACGGCAGTGGTGGGGGCGGCAGCTTAGGGTATGCAGGCATGGATGAGCGCAGCATAGCCGTGGAGTTTGACACTTCTAAGAGCACCGACGCCAACGACCCAGACAGCAACCACGTGGGGCTCAGTGTCAGGGGCAACACCTCTTCCATCGCAACTGCCAAAGCGCCCTTCACTCTCAACGATGGCAAGCCGAAGCAGGCCTGGATCGTCTTTGAACCCTCTCCTTCCTCCGCTGGCGGTGCTGCTAGTGGCAGCGCTAGCTATGGCAGCAGCAACAGCAGCGGCGGTGGCACGGGGTGGCTGCGGGTGTTTCTGTCGGCCAAGGGGTCCCCCCGGCCGGGCAAGGCAGTGGTGGCGATGCAGGTGTCGCTGTGCGAGTTCCTGCAGCCCAGTGCAGCCGAGGCGTCGTTCAAAATGGGCTTCACTGCTTCCTCCTCTGACTCCCCACAGCAACACTCCATCCTCGAGTGGAACATCACCACAGGTCATTACTGCTGTCCGCTGCTTCTCCCTGCTGCCCCCTCCTGCTCTCCTCTGCACCTTCGTGCTCATTGCTGATTCCCTCTGCTCCCTGCTTCCGGTACTGTCGCCTATTGTCACGCGTTCCGCACTTGTTGGGGTGCATTGTCTTCTTGGCGTCGAATCAGTTAAGTTCAGCACAAACGCTCAACTGTATCATCTTACCCACTCTATCCAATACTCTCCCTCCCACCAGGAATGGCCCACTCAACTCCCTAAACCATAGGTCACCTTAGCTCGCATGTATATGTATTACGTTCTCATCGTTTGTTACATCTTCCTTTTATATCTCTCTGTCTGCTCCCATCTCCCCTTGTCTTTCCAGGCCTTCCCGAATCAACCACCGTTACAGGTATGACTGAGTTGCATTGGCTTGAATTCGCAACTTCTGTGTCTGCTTCTTGGGTATCTTCTTGCCACCCTTTGGTTTGTATTTTGACCCCAATCCTTTCCACCAAACCGATCCTCCACCGTCCCCTCCATCCTCCCACAAGCTCCCCTAAATTTTCCCACTTCACCCTCCCCCCCCCCTTCGCTCCCTCCCCTCCGAACTTCCAATAAGTTCCCCACTCATTAATCCCTCAGGGTCTCGCCTCGCCCTGATCCCTCCCAAAGTCCTCCTCCCATTCTTCATTCAGCCCTTCCTCCAATCTGCCCCCTAATCCTCCCCATCGCACTAAATGCCACCAGACCCATAAACTTCCTTCCCTCTCTCCCCATACGTCTCTCATCCCCCATACCTAACCCCATCCTTCCTAACCCCCTACCCTACCCGAACCAACCTTATCCTATCCCCTCCCCCCCACTTCCCCTCCCCACCCGAATGGTTCATCCCTTTTCTATCTCCCCCCACTCCCCCAGGCCAGCAGTATGGGTTCCAGTTCAGCGAGGCATCGCTGGCGCCAGTGGGGGCGAACCTGTTCTTCCGCTACGCCAGTGCGGGCGTGCAGGCAGTGCAGCCAGCAGGCGGCAAGGAGGAGGAGGTGTGGGTTGTCAGCCAGGCCTTCTCCTGGGCCGACCAGGGCGTGGCCTGGCCCGTCCAGAACCAGGGCGCCTGCGGTGAGGGCATGTGGAGGGGAGGGGTGGGGAGGGGAGTGGAAGGGATGGGGTGGGAGGGGATGGGAGGGGATGGGATGGGGTGGGATTGGATGGGATTTGATGGGATGGGATGGGTTGGGATGGAATACCGTGGGTTTTTTCCTTACTTGGTTGGGTAAGGGGGCGCAAAGGAATGAGAGGGCATGAACTGTTAAAGTGCTTTTTGGTGAGAAGAGGGCTGTGTGACATCTGTGGCTGGTGTGGCTTCTCACTTCCTGCCATGCCCATTCTCCCCATCCCGCTTTCCCCTCTCCCATGCCAGCCAGCTGCTGTGCATACACAGCCGTGGGCAGCATACCAATCCACTTTAACTTCACATGCCTTCAACCTCTCCCATCATTCCACTTCCACATCCCCCACTTCTTTCAGGCGACTGCTGGGCGTACGCGGTGGTGGGCAGCATAGAAATGGCCTACGGCATTCTCTCCAACCTCACAGTCGTGCCGCACCTCTCGGTCTCCCAGCTGCGTGACTCACTCGGCTCCTCATGCTCACAAGGCAACTCGCCCTCCCAGGCCTTCCAGTACCTCGTCACTCTCAACGCCAAGAGCAAAGTGGGGCTCACAGAGGACGGGGGGACCGGGGTGGTGGTGAGCGGGGGCGGGGCCAAGAAGAGCAGCAGCCAGAGCCCGCTCTGCAGCATGCCTGTCTTTTCTCTGCTTGCGCAAGCTCTTGGAATCTCCTGCGACAAAGGCCGGACCCCTGGAACGGTGGGCAGCTCTTGTTATTCTTTGTTTCCTATTTGTTTGTTTGTCTTTGTTTTTTCTGTTTGTTTTTCTATCCGGTTCAAAGTTCTTCAAACTCATCGAGTACTTTTCCTTGTCCACTCTCGAGTACTTCATCCCGTGAGTCCACTCCATCCCGTGTCTTGATATGATCCGTTCTGACGTGGTCCATGTATGGCTTCTGATGTGCCGCACTGCCCCTGTTTACTGTTGTTCTATCCTCTCCCCTACCCCTATCCTATCCACTCCACCTCCCACCTGTCCTCTCCCTTGCTCCCCTATCCCTCCTCCCTTTCCTCGTGTACTTCTCCTCCCCTTCCTCGTGTACTTCTCCTCCCCTGCCCCCACGGCAGAGCAAGCCATCAGGGGGGGCGTTTACAGTGAACGGGTTTGAGCGCACGGCGTTCCACGGATGGTTTGGGCTGCTGCTGGCCGTGCAGCGACAGCCCGTGGTGGTGCATGTGCAGGCCACCGCCCCCTCCTTTCTCAATTATGATGGGGTGAGTGCGCACGCACGCACACACGCACACACACACACACACACACACACACACACACACACACACGCACACGCACACGCACGCACGCGCACACACAAACATGCACGTGCACGCACTCAATCACTTACACACCACTCTTCGTGCTCCTCCCACAACCTTAACAACATGGTACTTCTTTTGAATTTTTTCTAACAACTCATTCCATACCCGTGCGCCCCCAAATTTCCTCCACTCCCCCCCAGCTATCCAAGTACGCGGACCCCTCGTGCTTCACGTACAACCTGAACCACGTGGTGCTGCTGGTGGGCTATCGCCTCACCGGCTCAGACCCGACCTTCCCGCACATGGCGCCGCCCTTCTGGATCATCCGCAACTCATGGGGCCCAGAGTGGGGCGACGGCGGGCACATGCGGATGGACATCCAGGGGGGCGACGGCGTGTGTGGGATCAACACGCTGCCTGGGATCTACCCGGTGGTGCGCGCTGCCAGGGACCCCTGCAACGCCAACGGCACCAGCAGTGGGGTGTTTGGGCCGCTGTTCAACCCCTGTGGCAACTTCACGTGCACGCCCACGCCTGATGGGGCCAGCAACCACTGCGACTGCAACGACCCACGATTCGTCGAGGCGCTTCAACCCGACAACTCGCGCACCTGTGCTTACAGTGAGTGCTCTCCTTCGAGCTTAGTATGAGCACTCTCCTTGTTAAGAGGTGGAAATTCCAAGCGAATGAAGAGTGGAGGCAAGCTTGGAGTACCACTCGCTGCTTGAGACTTAAGACAGGGCGCTTTAGCTCCCAAACAGTGCCTGGCGAGAAAGGATGGGGATAACCAGCCGGGCGCTCCATGAAGATGCGCTCATAAAGGTCACCTTGGAGAATGCATTGGAAAAATCAATGAGATTTATCTTGCAATCCGTGCAAGCGCCAAAAACGATGAGAATATGGAAAGTGGGAAGGAGAGCAGTGGGGGAATATGTGGCAAAATAATCAACGTGCTAGTAGTGAAGCCTTTTGGGCAGTAACAAGCCTTAAAGACAGGAGGAAGACCAGTTAGCTGCTTCACATAAAGTACCCATGTCCCTTGGTGTACGGACGCGCCACCAGTTAGCTGAGAGGCGGTTAGTGTCAGTAGAGAATTGTTATGAGTGAGCGCCTCATGCTAAACAAGCACAACTATCATCCACATAGTGAAAGCTAGACGCTGTTTTAAATTAGGACTGAGGGGTGGGGATGGCAGCAGTGTCGACAGAGAGGGGTGTGAGAGATTTGGAAAGAAATATGGGGCTAGGGGTGGGAGAGGAGTGTTGACGAGAAATTGACTCGTCCTCGCATGGGCGAAGCTGACGAGAAATTGACTCGTCCTCGTTGATGGCTTGGCTTCGTGGTCGACACCGAATTGGAAGAGCAAGTCAGCTTGGTTGGCCCACCTCGGCGGAGCCGACTTTGGTGGATGACCGAATTTGGTGAAGCCAACCACTGCGAAGCTCACTTCGTCATCCGGCTCGCAAGGTGTGCAGTCAATGTTGATTTGGCGAAGCAAGTCGACCTGCTGGGTTGGCCGACTTCGGTAAAGCCGACCTTGGCTTAGCTGACTTCGACGAGGTCGACCAGGGTGAAGCCGGCCATAGCATAGGCCGACTCGGTGGCCGCTTTGGTTGACCGTGTACCTGATCGACAAATTTCTACGAGGCGCGCGAACGTCGTCCTAGTGGTTTTGGCAAATTCGACCTGCGTGTCGGTAGCACAAGGTTGATGTGGCACATTTGGGAGCAGCTGTCGACATATGGTCGACTTGGGCACCTGCACAATGCGCCTGACGGGCAACTGTCTATCTGCATCTACTTGGTAGGTGCGCACATGTGCGCACAAGGACACCTGCGGTTGCAACGCTGGCAAGCGGTTGGTGCAGCGCTGGCAGGTCGCCGATTTGTAGTGTTGGCGAGCTGCCTCCTTGCTGCGTTGGCACGCCGTCGACTTGCAACGTTGGCAAGCCGCCTTCGTGCCGCTCTGGAGGTTGGCCTGCCCGCTGCCTTCCATTTGATGTAGTCACCTTTGCCTAACCATTATGTATCACTGTTCTCAACTTTTGTTAGTAATACATTGTCGTTTTGCCCCGTGGACACGCAAGTGCTAGAGAACACAAGGAACGCTACGTCACTCGTTTACCCATAAATCCCCCATAGTCCAGCTCCGGGGTTGAGAGGTGGTGTAGAGGAATTCTCTGCAAGAAGAGGGGTTGAGAGATGGTGGAATGAGGAGCCAAGGGAGCAGAATTGTCATTTGAAGGGGCAGGCGAACAGGACGAAGGTAGAGATGATGGAACAGAAGTCGGGGAGCAGGTGATGGAACCAGGAGAGACGCAGTGGGGCGAGTGTCGAAGGTAGGTTAAGCCAGGGGGGTTGAACCTAAAGGGAGCGAGGCTCATCAAACATGAGATCCTAGCTGCGAATGAGCTGTTGAGTGGAGGGGGCACTAGTCCTGATAAACTGTTTGACAATGTCTCCACCACGGTGCTCACAGTGTTTCCATCCGGTCAATTTCTTTCCTGCAGTGGTGCTATCGGCACTACAGCGCAGCACATTACATAAGTTGTTCAGCCTCCTTCATGCAGTCACTTCAATGCATGCTTGTCTTCGTTGTGCCTTCCGTCCATATCTTGCCCTTGTACCCAGAGGATGCATGCAGGGCAGCGGTGCACAATCCATGTGCGGTGGGCACGTGTGTGAATGATGGCAAGGGGTCATACTCGTGCATTTGCCCTCCGGGCTTCAGGCAGGGCACCACCGTTGATGGCACCTTCTCCTGTGGTCCAGGTAACCTTCTCGCATGCTCCAGTCCAGGTAAACTTCATTTGCGCTCTAGATGCCTCTCGTTATAACATCCACCTTATCCCACTCTTACTTATGTGATGCTACTATGAAGCATACTACGAAGTCGCCTTTCTCACCTTCTATGGCGTCTTTCTTGAATAAAAACCCTTCAATACTCAGGCTATGCTACCATGGAGCATACTGGTAAGTAAGTAACATATCTCATGCTGCCATGCTGGCTCTACAACGTGCCATAAATACCATCACTCCCCGATTATCATCAAACTCCCTTATAACAAATAATCGCGCTCACCCCCGCCTGCACCATTCCGCCCAACCACACTTCTCCCATTTGCACTGCACAACCACCTGCACCACCCTGCACCGCACTGCACAGGTGACTCCAGCAGCACATACACGGTGGTGTCATTGGGTGTCACGTGTGCCGACATCCACCCCGTCTACGGCCTCACTCTCGCTCAGTTCCAAGCCCAGAACCCCGTGAGCATCTTTCCACGCCCACAACCCAAAGGTCCTCCCCCTGCTTTCCTTCTGCGTATAGAGCCTCCTCCTCACATTTCCGCAAGCCTTTGGCCCCTCTCTCCGATCGTTTCTGCCCTCTCATCCCGACTCCCATCCCCCTCCCCCTCCAGGGTCTGAGCTGCAGTGCTCCTCTCGCTGTCGGCACGGTGGTAAAAGTGGTTCAACCTGATGACCTTGCGCCCTGCTCCGTATACTACACCACGTCTGAGGTTAGCCTTCTCCCCTCCTCTCCCTCCTCTCCCTCTTCTCCCTCCTCTCCCTCCTGTCCCCTGCTCTCCTATCTCTACCTCCCTCCCTTCCTCCTCCCTCCCTCCCTCCCTCTCTCCCTCCCTCCCTCCCTCCCTCCCTCCCTCCCTCCCTCCCTCCCTCCCTCCTTCCTCCCTACCTACCTATACACACACACACACACACACGCACGCACGCACCCCCCCCCCCCCCCCCCACACACACACACGCACACACACACGCGTGCTCTCCTTCGCCTCACATTTGTGCTCTCCTTCGCCTCACATTTGTGCTCTCCTCCGCTTCACGCTTGTGCTTTCCTTGCTCTCATCTCGTTCTCTGCTCTCACCGTTCTCCCACCAGGGCGACATGTGAAGTCACTGGCACCGTCTTTCTCTGCACACGCCTCCTTTCGTCCTCTCATCCATTTCTCTCATCATCCGTTTTCCTCCCCCATTGTCTCCCCCTCTCTCCCCCCCCCCCTCACTCCCATCCCCCCAGGGCGACACGTGCGAGTCTCTAGCGAAGTACTTCTCTCTCATCGGCGACTGCTATGAGCCCTGCGCAGAGGCCTTCCAGGCCCTCAACCCCGGGCTGGACTGCTTTGGTGACAGCAACAGGGTGCTACCGCCCAGCCAGGCGGTGTGTGTGGAGCGGCGGGCGGAGAGCGCAGCGGCGCTGCTCATCCCGGTGTGCTCGCAGTTCTATCTGGTGCAGGCCGGGGAGACGTGCGACCAGATCCGCTCCGTGCCCTCCCCGCCGCTCTCCCCAATTGACTTCTTCCGCCTCAACCCCGGCATCAAGTGCAGCCGCCTCGTGCCCAAGACTGACGTCGGCAGCCTCACAGGCTTCGAGGTCCCCCTCTGCTCTCCCTCTGCTCTTTCCTCTATCGCCCTCTTCCCTTTCCCACTCTCCCCCTTCCTTCCATCTCTCCCCCCACTTCACCCTCTCCCGCCTCCTTCCTGTCCCTTTCATCCTGCCTCTCCTTTCCACAGTCCTACCAGACCTTCCCTATGCATTTAAATTCCCACGTATGTTCATAGCTTTGACGATCTCATTCTCACCTGGCCCGCTGCTTCCCTGTGTGTAAATATCTTTCCAGCTATTTATATCTTTCACAACATACCTACCAACTCACCAACCTACCTACCTACTCACCTACCTACCTACCTACCTACCTACCTACCTACCTACCTACCTACCTACCTACCTACCTACCTACCTACCTACCTACCTACCTACCTACCTACCTACCTACCTACCCACCCACCTACTTACCTACCTACCCACCTACCTACCTACCTACCTACCTACCTACCTACCTACCTACCTACCTACCTACCTACCTACCTAGCTTACCGCCTCCATGCCATTCTCGTCCTTTTCACTCTCGCCCCCTCTTCCCCCTCCCCCTACCCTCAAACTCCCCCCCACCCTCTAACTCCCCCCCACCGAAACTTCACAAGTGTAGGCGTGCATAGGCAGCTCGTTCAGCTTCACGCAAGGAGTGTGCCCCAAGACTCGCGCGTACGTGGTGGGGACTGGCGACCGCTGCACTGGCCTGCAGGTCAAGTACTTCCGTGGAATCAAAGGGTGTTACAAGCGGGTCAACGGCTACGATTGCATCGATAAGCTCGTCAAAGCCACCAGAGTGTGCATTCCGGACCAAGTCAAGATCAAGGCCGGGAAATGCGAACCCTGACATAGTATTGTCCGCTTATTTGTATTTCTCTCCAAGAGGGCGGCACATCCCCGTTTTTTAGGTCTAATCGATGTATATAAAAACGATGTCTCCTTAGTGAAATTTTGCAGCTATTCTCATTTCCTTTGCGGGAATCAGGAAACTAACTCACAAATTCGTTCCTAAAGCCTCGACACCCATACCTCCAATGGTTTGATTTGACAGCTACATCTACAGTGCAAGCAGCAGGGCCCGTGCTAGGATTTAGGCCCGTCTGAAACCCCCCCCCCCCCCCAAAATTGTTTTGTCTGACGTTCAGACGGGCAAAAAAAAATGTCTGATTTTTCAGATTAATGTAAAAGCTTTGTCTGATTTTTCATACGAATTGTTTTGCTAAGTCTGATTGAGGAATTTATACACTACTCGACCATATATGGTACTGAGTAAGCTGCTGACCGCGGCATTGACAGCCCGCTAGCAGACAGGCATGGCGATTTGTGCGGAAAGAAGGGGGTGGGAGAATTGGGAACACAGGTGGTGTTCTGGTGACTCCTGCGGAGGGGGGAGGTGGGGGGGCGAATGTAAATGAGGATTGTTCCGATGGTGTTTCCTGGCCCGTTTTCACCACCTCCCGCTACAACCGAAGGTGGGAAAGTTCGGGCACGAGGGGGGGAAGGCTCCGATGGGTGTTTTTTGCCCCAGCTCCTTTCTTACTTCTGTCCCAAATCCCCGTGAAGAGTGGTTGCCGAAAGGGGGGGCGAGGGAGGCAAAATTTGCCTGAGGAGTCACTGAGGAGGAAGGTGAGGAGGGTAAATGTGCAGCTTCCAAGGGGTGCACATCCCTGAGGGTAAATGAGCGTTCTCTTGGCATTTACCTTCGTTTTGGTTCGTAGGGCAAATAGGTGGCTCGGCACGGTTTTACGGGCTGACCGACGTGTCGAACCAAAAACGCAGAGAGGGGAAGATTCCTATTTCCCCTCGCTCCCCCTCCGCCAGTGCCTAGAGAACACCACCTGTGTGGAGGGACCTGATGAGAAGGGGGGGCGGGTTGATACAGGTGCTGGCTGGGGACTTGGGAAGGGGAGAGGGAGGGGAGGGGTACAGGATCAAGGTTGGCTGAGCGAGGGATTGGGGCAGTGGCTGGCGAGGGATTTGGTGGAGGTGCTGGGTTGGGGGGGAAGGGGATGCGCGAGGGACTCGAGGGAGGGGAGAGGAGAAAAGGCTACTACGGTACTTTCGCTATCAGATGAAATCATACTCGATGTCGGAAATTTCAGACGAATTATAAGGCTTGGTCTTTTTTTCCAGACAAAATAAAATCGTTTGTCTTATGCATCAGATGAACAAAAATCGCTAGTCTAACAAATCAGATGAAACAAAAAAATTAGGTCTGATTTTCAGACCATCAGACCGATTTGGTCTGATAACGAGAGCCCTGGCAAGCAGGTCGCCTGGCTGCAGCGTTGGCAAGCCACATGTGTTTCTCGAACAATCAAGTCTGAAAACTGTTGCTAGTTAAACACGCCTCAATCATCCCTCTCGTAAAAATCTTTCTTCATACTGTAATTTCCAACAATTCTTCCATCCCCTTATCCCCCCCCCCCCCCCCCCCCCTCTTTTTTTTTTTTTTCCTCTCAATCCGCCTCTTCCTAACTTTCTCCTTCTACCGTAACACCCGTGCCTTGTACACATTGCCATAGCATATATCTCATCTCATGTCTCTTTAATTAAGTGTACTTGACATGCTTCCTTTCATAAACCCTCCAATCACATATATGTTGTTGGTGGTTGCCGCACACCAGTCCAATAATGATCGGTCTTGCTTGACCAGGCGATCGAGCGAGTTATGGCCAAATGTATTGCACGCGCACGATCGTAGCAATATAGCGTAGTAAGCACTAATTCTGAACTTGGTTTAAATCTTTGTCATTATCTCCCAAAACTTTCGAGCCGAGCCCCATCTCAAACATATGGATGTTAGTAAATGCGGTCTTATTACTTGTTTTGCATTTCATCATTTTGCAAAATAATAGGGCCATCTTTTCTATTATGTAAGGTTCTGTCTGTATCGAATAAAAGGGTGTATATCCCACCTTTTATTGCAACCTGCTTTCAAACATGGGCACGTGCGTGACACAGGTGGAATTGGAAGTTTGGTCTGTTCCTTCTCAAATATCTGACGCGTGCTACACCTGTGTGGATGGTGTGGCAAATCAATGCAACGCACCAGATTTTTGACACGCAAGGCCGGAAACTGGGGGGCATATACTGTAATCTGGTTTGGCAGCCTGACAGAACGCGACACTCTTCCTTTCGGGCTATGATTTTGCAAATTGGAAAATACGAAGGGTACTCCATGAGGTGATGGTTGTTCTAAAGGGTAAAACAATTTCCCTGGTGCAGGAAACAGCGAATGTCGTAACATTTGGGTAAAACATCCTGATCTTGTTACGCGCGGCGTCGATGATGAGAGGTCCAGAGGCTGTTTGGGTGGAGCGGGAGGATGTTGAGGAGGAGATGGGATGGGATGCTCCGTGGGCGGATGCACCCTACTTGGTAGACATGCGGGTTTAGAGGGTGGGTTTAGGAGGGGTTTTGGTTCGATGGAAGTGCAGTTGGGGTGTTTTGATGGGATGGTTTGACGGGGTTTCAAATGTGTGTGCTCTTGGGGTTTTCTTGATGTCGTGTTTTTTTTGCTTTTCCTTCCTTTTTCCCTGTGTTTCTTCCTCCTACCATTTTTCCCCTATTTTCTTCCTTCCTTCTTCTTCTTTCCTTTTTTCTCCTCACGTTATTCCTCCTTTCCTCTTCTCTTCCCATTCCCACTCAATTTCCTGGCGTAATTGTGCATCATTATTAGCATTCTGACAAAAGGGTTGGGAATTTCTGTTGGACTCGCTGAAGATTCCTCTTCATTCTAACTTACACCCTCATATTCTCTTGTACGCCTGTGCGATGTATATTTGATTCTTGTTTTCCGACAAATTTGCTTTGTTTTCACCACCACTTGTCGCCTTAGTAGGTTCGCACCAACGTCTTCATCCTTAGCAGCCGCATCAACAGAATTCATCCGCAGCACATACCGCTGTTTGAAAGGGAGCGCAGCGTAGCGTCAGAAGTAACGGCGGCAATAGCATGCATTGGAACACGGAATTTAATCGAGAATCCAGTAACTCACCAACCACAGCATGACGACCTGCAATGCCAGCAGCACCTGCACCCCAAAAATGATGGGAAGCTAAACCTACTGCGAAGCTATTTCGTAGTTACTTTGTGGTTGGTGTCCAGATTTCAGCGTTCTGGTTACTAGCGAACATACTTAAATCATGCGATGTGAGGGTTGGGGCCTCTCGAACGTAAACATGCTGCAAAGTTACTTACAGGTCGGAACGGATGTGAGATCGGCGAAATGCCCGACACTTCTGGTTGCACACGAGAACCGGTAACACCGCACGTACGAACTGTATGTCAGCTGTGATTTGCTCCTGACTTGGGGAAAGGGCCATTGCAAAGGTTTTCATTGGTCGAAATCAAAGCAAGGTTGATTGCAGCGTCGAATTGAAACACAACGCGCGTCGAAGTGTCAGATGACATTTGAACTGTTTTTAAAGCGATCCAGTACCCGAATACGAATGTATACAGTGAAATCCCGACATTTGATAAAACATAACTCATCAATGAAACGTTGCAATACGACATGGTAACCCAGTAACTATGAAAATTAAACGGCACGATTCAATCCCATTTAGCAAACAATCTGTACGTTTAATAGTGCTAGACGATTCAGCATAAAAACGATAAATACGACATGACAATCTAGTGAGTAAGGGCTGGTCACAGCCAATATTATTAAGTCTCAATATTACAACACTCAAGATAAAAAGATACGATAAAAAGCATGCACAATCAATCATAACTTCTTAAGCTAGACTATCACGCTGAACAATCACAACCTATCACGCTAAACTAAGTCTCGACGAGGTGGAATATAAGGGAGGACAGTAAACGCTGGGAAGTCGATCCTGCACAACAATTAAAATAGAACCCACACAAGAGTTAACTACGGTTCAGTTGCAACAAGGTTGTCGAAAAAAATTCTAGGGAAAAACTCTGCTCTAAAAATGTGAATCGGTACATGCCAGAGATAACAAAAAACGGCTCGGACTATGACGACGTCC